CGCGGCAACTAATCTGCGCCATTAGCCCTGACCACCACCAATTCCACACCAGACACATAAGCAGATGGATGAAGTGTCTTGCCTAAGGACGCAATAACAGTTTGGCACTTTATGGCCACAGCAGCCCAACTGTGACACCATGGTTTTCCAAGAGGTCTCCCATCACAGTACTAAACAGGCCCTGCTCTGTGTAGCTAATCTGAATTTGTGAGAATTAAACTTCTGAGAAATTTGACTCTGCTGGCCCCTTAGAAGCATGTATGTGTATGTATGTGCTAAAGTTAACCCAGTCCACGTTTTCCCATAAAACATTCTTAAATGTGTTGAATTGACTGTAAAATGGTACTTATGACTTTAACCCTTTAATGTTCACTCCTTGAAAAAGCATTGGAACTTTATCTGATTTTATAAGATTTAGGAGCACTAATAATATGAGTTTTTTTCAACCCCCAAGTTGTTGTGATGTTGTGATAGTGACGTCCCAATGAGGTAGATTTCAGTTCCAAACTTTAAGTAAAGGTAAAATGCACTTTATCGATCCCCGAAGGGCAATTCATCCTCTGCATTTGACCCATCCTGATGCCGCGAAGACTTACGTCAAGAACAGTGGTCGCCGTAGTAACAGCGCCCGGGAACACATCTCCAGATGTTGATGCTCGGCTTGGTCAGGACAAGAGCTGGAGGATTTAACCAAGTGTGCATGTTTTTAGTGGTAGGGAAAACCAGAGTACCCAGAGGAAACCTACTCAGGCACGCGGAGAACATGCAAACTCCACTCAGAAACCCCTGTTCCGACCAGGATTCGAACCCAGGAACTTCTTGCTGAGAGGCGAGAGTGCTATCCACTCAGCCACCGTGCCGCTTAAGTAGATACAGCGACTCAAAAAGTGATCCAACAAATGGGCGAAGAAACCAGTAAAGAGTTAAAGCCAAATGATTGAACATAAACAGAACCAACACATCCCAAAACCTTCCCATGTCATTCCCAACTTTGTCACACCTGGTCACACACACCATCGTCCGTATCTTGGCTCTCAGGTTTCTGTTGGAAGCGTGTCGTCTGCCCGTAGACCTTTGGCTGTCCCTTGTCCATTAGTATGAATGAGTGTGTGTTTGGGCGCGCTGCCACTGCCACATTAAGAGAAATCATTTGTGAGCTTCAGTCTCGGAGGGCAGGCTGCTTATCGGAGCGGCATGACGTGAGTAATTACACATGGTTCACCTTGAGGACTTGATCATGAGCTCTCTCTCATCTTTTCCCCATCCCTGACAATCCCCCCTTATCTCTGCCAGGTTTTGATCTTGTCCTCTGCTCTTGTCTGAGTCGTTCTTATTTGATTAGCGCACGTCTTGGAAAGGATATCTTTAATAATGATGTCCCTGCTCTTCAAACGCCAGCTGACAGATTCATCAAAAAAGGTATTAAGTGGAAAACTGCCAAATCAATATGTAAACTCTTAAGATCAAGGCAGATAATACACATTCATGTCCACAGTAGAAATAAGCCAGCAGTCAGTCAATAACTTTAGCTGCTTATTTGTCCTAATTGAATTTGAATTTTTATAATAATTGGAAGAATTCTGGATTTTTTTTACCCCAAATGTTTTCCATAATTATTACTTTTCGCATTCAGGCTTCAGAACAAAAACATTCTGGAGTCTTTCTGGGCTGGGTTTTCTCTCCGCCAAACAGTATCAGAATTAGAATTATTGTATTGCCCTGTGAGAAACAAGAAGCAGCAAACTTTAGGAGATTGCTTTGGCTCTCAGTGCAAACAAATTAAAAAGTATAGAATAGAATAAGGAATGCATACATTAAAATCTACTTATAATGTCTTCAAATTACTACTATACCTGGACCAATGCAACCCTAACTTTGACTTATTATTTTAGCAATTTCGCTCCAGTTTAGGGCTGGGTAATTATTCGAATTTAGGCAATTCATCGGCTTTTTTTGAAAAATGTGAAAATTGTGGAATCAAAATGAAGGATATTTTGAGAGTTCCAGCAACAAATGAATTATACTTGCAATATCAGCACAGTCTGTACAAGACTTGAGTATTGAGCGGATAGATCAACAAATATTTTTAAGGTCAAAGTCTGTCTTCGTGACTTTAATGAAAATCGATTTAAAATATAAATCGTCCAAAGCAGGAAACAAAATTGAGATTTTACAGTTTTGCCATATCGCCCAGTCCTGCTCCAATCACAATTCTCACAATATTTATAAGAATTGAAAAATGCCTTGGGAGCTTCTGAGTGAATAATATCTTCATGCAAAATAGAGCATTTCAAGTGGAGTTTGCATGTTCTCCTAGTGTCTACTTTTCTTCCAGATGCTTCTAACATTTCCCCTAACAAATGTACAATAGGACTGTCATTTTGTCAATGACACAATCTTTATAACCAGTTTGACCTGCCTGCTTTCGGCCGTTTCTCGTTCAAACTTACATGAAACCAAACAGAGCTCACAGTCCTCCATCAAAACTTTCATCTTTGCATATATCATAATCTGTATTCTATGTCTATTATTACAATATAAAATACAGCGTTGTCCTTTCTCCTCTGTTAGTACGTGACCGTAACATTCAATTCCAATGTCATGACTGCGCCGATGTTGAAGGAACAAGGTTTGGCAGCTCAATGGAACAAATGACTGGATTATACCAAAAGCCACTGCCAGGGAGTCCTTCTAACACTTAATATAGAAAAAAAAGCAGGAAGTGAGCTATATGTGTGTGTGTGTGTGTGTGTGTGTGTGTGCATGTGTGTGTGCATGTGTGTGTGCACGTGTGTCAGCGGGCCAGCCCTGAGGCACAGTAGTCTAACTAGTAAGACAAATAAACACTAAGCTAAAGCTCACTAGAGGGACCGGTGCTGGAGAGGTTGATGGATGAGGCAGAATGAGGCTTTTTTTCTATTCCTCGCTGTGGCAGAGAGAATGGAAATACTCAGATTGCTAATAAAGCGCATTCATTTGTACTGTTTTTGTTCCCGCTGAACCGTGTGAATAGATTATAATATTCCTGTATGTGCTATAGTCAAATTAAAGGTGATGTCTGCAACTTCAATTGTGTAAATGTGTTTTAAATCATGCACATTTTTGACCATATACTGTTTGACCCTGTGCTATCATGTTCAGTCAAAGTATTTGTCTAAAGTAATGTATCTCAAATAGTCCCGCCTCTTGGTAAAAGCACGACCAATACGATTTGCTGTAGGAGAATTGTTAGACCAATAGCAAGGATTTTCAATAATTTTGTCCAATCAGGGTGTTGAGAGCTCACGCATGGCCAAGCCTAACTGGTGCTTCTATTGAAATGGTTCTCTTTCTCTTCACAATTTGAGCTTTTGCTGAATTTTACCTGGAGTAGACATGAAATAGTCTTTTTTTAGAATTATCAATTTTATTTGTTATTTTTGCTGCAACTGGACATCTGAATATCTCCCATATCTCAATAAAGTGTCTATCTATCTATCTCCATACAGTATTCAAACCAGTTTTGTTTTCAGATCAGAGGATTGAAGGCTAAAAAATCTAAAGTGAAAAATAGAAAAATATTTTACTAAATAGAACACAATCGAGAATCGACAGAAGCATTTTAGCTCATTAGTTAGTAGTGTCTTTTAATATACATAATACATCAACTGCCTGAATAGAAAAATATTTCCAACGAGGCATTAAGAAATGTTGGTGTGCTATCAGCATGCTAGTTGTTTTAGCCCTGATGTTAAATAGCGTCTGAAATTTGTTAAATGCTCTTTTTTTATGATTATGAGGCTCAGAGTGCAGCAGACAAAGCGTGGTGACTGTGGCTGATATGTTTACATGTTTCTAAGCCAGCTGCTACAGTGATCATTATGCAATTTAAATAATTTGGGCTGACAGAAAATGACTTAAATCCACAGTGTAAACCGCCTATTAAGCACAAAATTCCCCTTAAATGACAGAGCTGCGCGGATTAAACTTTGTTAATCACGCAATAGTGACAGACCGATGTGCCACAGTCGCACAATGCAAGGATAAACAAGTAAAACTGTAACAATAGCTTTTTCTCGCCTGACGCTGCCAAATTCCTGTCTGTACAATGATATAAGAATCAGGGTAAGCTGTCGAGCCCTTTTTGTAGAGGTTGTCCACACATCCTAAAATCCACCGTAATCATAGTTAAAACACATTCACAAACAGCGAGCTCACACATACACACATTTCCCCTTTAAGAAATGGGACCATATGGCAAGCTCCGAATGCTTAACCCCTAACCTGCATGTGAGGCGGAGTACGGACCGAAAAACGCCTGAAGAAAAGTGGGTTAATCTGCACTTGCTTCATTGAATCAACAGAACACAGTGGGAACAGTGGGAGTCCTGGAAATCCTGCTTTTATACCCAAAATAATCTACATCCGCAGTAGTATTACACCATTTAAATGAGCTTTGAGATTGGGGTAGGGATATGTTGACATGGTTGTTGCTGAATGGTAAAACAAAGAAAAGACCACACATTTAACTTTTTTGTTGTTGTTGAGAAAACTGAAATATTAAAATCCATGGTGTGTTCTGATCTGCGTTAGCGAATCGACAACTTTCTAAATACCTCCAGGACGACTGCTGTTGTGACTTAGGGCAGGAAATGAATTGACTTGATTATTTACGCTGTATGTAAACTTTATACAAAAGAAGCACTCAGACTTTCCTCATGGCTTTTGAAAAGTTTTAGGAACAATGTTTGATAATATTTCATAAAATTCTAATATGGACTAACTTATCTCAAATACTACAGTAAAGTAAATGTTTTCGTTAAATTCAATATATATCAAAAATCTCATAAAACAGTTTGACCAAGCCGCTCCATAGAGTTATATTGTTAATTGAAACCACCAGAGACAATTCAAAATCAGTTTAGATCCATTGAAACAGCCATTAAAATCCATGCATCATGCGACATCAAACAATTATATTCATAGTTTTGGCAAAATGATAAATATAGATGCGTTCTTACCCCGTGTGAAGGGTAGGAGATCCATCCAAGCTCTCCCTGGCTGGCTTTGGAATCTAACAGGTTGACTGTGGAGAGAAGAGGCACATGTAGAGTCATGAGAACAGCCTTGTTAGCCCTTGTTAGCTTCTATTAGGCCTTATCAAATCCCAGCGGACGGACCTCAAACCTGCGGCTCTGATCCGGGGCCTGTTTTCCCAGCTGCCGCGCACACACACATAAGATCTTGATCCCGTCCAAACAGTAAAAGCAATGTCATGTGGTTTTGGGAGCAGCAAAAAGATCTTTGGAGCCACAGGAGGGCGTCGTGATTGTTATCGTGGTGAATAAGAGCGTGGTGTGGCGGAGAGGGAGAGTAAACATGTTTTGGGATACAGACTAAAAATTCAGGAAAGAAAATAAGCTCTTGGAGTTTGACCAGTTTATCATAACCCATAAATGTATAACCCTAACACTAGCAACAGAGTGGATAATAATCAATCAATCCAATTTCATTTACAACACTCAAGGTGAACAAAATTGTATACAATAATAACACATAAAATCCATTAAAACATTATAAGTTATAAGGCATTAGAATAAAAATATTGACATTTGGAAGTAAACCTGGATTTGACACTATTTTGATATATGAAAATTGAGTTAGCATCATGTATTGTGAGTACGAATAAGTATAAATGGTCAGATCAAAGAGATATATTTGAGGAGAAGGAAAACTGTGGCCGGAAAGGTTCTCCAGTGAATGGCTTGAGGAGCTGGGTCTGCCTTGTCTCTGTTTTTTTTGCCAGATTCTACATTTCTCTTAATATTCTGATTTTATAAAAAGAGACAAAATCTCAATCGGTTGAATCTTGGTGGTATATGTAGTGTTAAACCATATAGTCCACAGAAAACGTCTATAACAGATGTATTCTAGACTGTGCTTGCTTTTGAAATAATCTCTGTCTAAAAAGAAGAGATCATTTATTTCTACCACAGACGGAAAATGTCAATGTTGCATCACCGATTACAGAACAGTAGAATGAGAGACACACAACACAAGATATATATATATATACTGGTTTTATAACTAAATCATATAATTCTCCTGCAGCGGACAGAAAGGGTCCACAACAGTCTATTCTAGGTGTATGCAGATGGCTGAGTGTGAATGATTGTCATGATATCCCAGTGTGTGTGTGAGGCAGTGACATATGGAGCGGGGAACGTGTGTTATGTGAACAGCCCCACTTCACTTTAGCACCAGAATAAGTCTGTTTGGACACACTACAAACAGCACACACACGCCTTTGTACTCTGCAAGATGTATACTTTTGAGAAAGTTGAGACAGTTGCTGCACACAAATATTCACAAAATGCACAAACTTTCATGATCACATCAAAAACAAAGTCCACTTTGACAAACCACAGGAAATAGTGTCCCACGCACATTAACCATTAAACGTTGAAGCATATATATAATAATATTTATTTTTCCATAATAATTTTACTAAATGAATACCTTTTTACACTTTTAAACATCTTATTCTCTATCAATTATTTAATTTTGATTCTGAAAAATATGTTTTCTCCCATTTTATCAATCCACTAATATCCATTGTTGAAGGCCTGTGGGAATTCAAAATGTCAAAAAACAAATTCATTGGGTGAAAAAAGCCTCTCGCTCTTCTCAAACTGCACATTATAATAAAGATTGAACTGGAAATTACCATTTTCTCGCAGTAGAGCAGCTACTAGCTGATATTATCTGCCACTGTGGTAATGTGGCCCACATTCACACAATGGGAGACTTATTATACGTCAAAATGTCCAAAAGTGGCCAAATTGCAGTCCACCTGCACAGCGCAGGCTAGGCCCACTCAGGCTTGAGTGGCAGTGGACACTTTCCTATTAGCGGCTAATGAAGCTATCTGTTCATGTCAGATAATAGCAGCTCAGCACAGGACCAGCGCCTCCAATTTACATTTCTCAACGAGCCGAGCCCACTGCTCAAATGGAGCCGAGCGGGAATTTGAGAGCAGAAAATTAGAGCCTCTCATATCGCACAAGCACGAAGAAAAGTCCCTCCAGCTGCTGCCACTGCAGGAGAAATGTGCACCCATTCTCAGAGTAAACATTGTGACTGGTGACAAAACTGTGACACATCAGATACACTTCCTACTATTGAGTTCATACATGACTTTTATTGACTACAATGGGAGCTTCCTGTCAGCGAAATGTGATCTACGGCCTCGGTGCAGGCGCCGCAGACGTTCTCCTGAAGCAGGCTATTCACATCCAAATCTTCTCAAAACTCAGTTACAAAGGCGTACTGACAACATTGAGAGGGATTGTATTTAAAAAATATAATAAAGTCATCTCAGCCGATTATTCTGGTTAATTCTACAATCGTCTGTGTTATTATCTTGAGATGTGTGTGTACTGTAAGCCAAAGACAAATGTCTGTCATCATTATGGCTCACAACAGTTTTTCTATCCTAAAATTGGTCAAAACAAAATCATAAATAAAGTATTTTGAGCACAATCAAACCTTCCAAAGGACACACACCCTCAACCTTTGAAATACAAGTAAAGAGACAAATGAAGTCGACTGCAGAATTAAGTATCAATGAAAAACAATGGTTCAAAGAATATAAACTCTCCATGATCTGCTGAACATCAGCCTCTGACTGTTCCATCAGAGAGAGCCTCAAACAGGACTCACACAGTAAAATGATGAAAACCATTGAGCTCATGACTCAATGTTAAGCACAGATTTAGACAAAGCGAGGGGATGTAATCATACAGTTCTATTGTCTTCACAGTATTGGATTGTGTCAGAATTTAGCTCCTGACTTCATGCAGGGATAAAACGATGATGTGATATTTGAAGGAAATGGAGTAAGTTGCCGGTGGGCCATCTTTCCTCTGCATTAAGACTGCATAAGACATACAGTCGGGTATGAGTCAGAGATGCCAGTCCGCTTTAGCACATGGCAAAGTGAGCACAGCACATTCTAATGGAAGCACATGTTGTCTTGATATGTGTTGTGGCGTCGTAGCCGGAGAGCAGGGAGTTTGGCAGGCCTCAGTGCAGCTCAGAGCCAGGCGACTGGTGTCTGTGCAAGGGTGAAGTGTTCACCTCCCATTATGAATTATTCAAGTGCTCACAGTGGCTCTGTCTGATGTTACTGCTGCTGCTGCTTTCTCCCCTGCTCTAGTTCCGGGTTTTTCCTCTATTCTTCCCACTTTTCCCCTCGTTCGCTGCCTCTGCCTCCTTCACCTGTCTTTGCATACTCTTCTGCTTTAGTTCATGCTCATGACTTCCCTCCTGCTCAACATAAGGCACTGTCTGCTGCTGTACATGTCTCTAAAGCTGAGTGCACTACTTATTCATCAACTAAAGCCCGATGTACCTTTGAAGCAGAGAATGCACTCCCTCTTAAAGTTACAGCTGATGTTTTTTTTTCCTAAAGCCCAACTGAAAACATACAAATACCTATTTCCATAATATCTGTTGACATTTCATATAACAACTAGAATTACGCTATTTTTTTTGGGTGATAACAATATTACAACAAATATTTATTGTAACATATGCATTCATTTGAGGTCACATTTCATTGAGTCATCGCTGGGAATACAAAAATAAAAATACATACAAAAAAACACAACTCCTCTATCTCCACTTGGATCCCTTTCGTCTCTGCGATCCGCATTGGTAATAGATCTTTACCTATAGCACTTTTTTTCCTTTTTTCCCCCTTTTGCAGAAGGAGTTGGTTCTCTTCTAAAAGTTGCTGTAGCTCTCTGACCTCGTGCGTAACAGCGGGGTGTGCGCGCCTGACTCCGCGGGCCAAGCCTCACCATCCGCGGCTAAAAATACTCAAGGCCCCGACGCCCCGCGGAGATCCCCACATCACACCAGCACCAACTCCGAGTTGAGAATTTTAAGAGGAAATAATTCTAGATTTTTTTTTTTTTTAAGGATTTTTTAAGACAAACACATCGAAATACTGCTGTCAGACAGACATGAAAGCGAAACTAAATTTTTTTGTTTTACTTATAAGTATTTCCAAAGTATTCAAGTCCCTTTTCACCAACAATTGGCAATTATTCATCTCTAAGCCTGTTATATATTAATTGTATGTAACTTGAAACAGACGCGAACTGTATTGTAAGGATATAAACAGACATAGCCAGATATCCCAAATGGTGTATGGGAGTTTTTGAGTATTAAGAATTTTAATTAGAACATTTGCAGTTTAAAAATAAAAATAAAACAAAAAATAAAATAATTTCCAAATAGTAGAAGTTTACATTTTGATTTCAGAAATATGATGTGGGGGGAACATCGGCAGACGACCATCTTATTTTGAAACAGGATTGCATTTGTCATAAGATATCATCCACTCGCAAACATCAACAACATAATATTATTATGAAGTCTCCGGGTTTCTCTGTGGGTTATACAACAGTGACTATAAAATACAGACAACACACGTCTGATCCTTCTCTGATTCCAAACGAGCTTCGAGATGATGGAGCGAGAAGCAGCGGCTCGCTACACTCTCTGGCAAATGAATCCATGCAAAGGTCAGTTTAATTAGTTGTTTGATAATAACAGAATAAATGAACTAGACTTCCCCTCATGGGTGTGATGCACAGCGCACCGACGTCCTCCGTGCGTCCACAACTTTATCAATCCCTCTCTTTCTCCCTCGCTCCCTCTCTCCCTCTCTCTCTCTTTCTCTCTCTTAAACACAGAAGCTGAGAGAGTCCTGGTTCTTGTCACGCACGCACAGAAGCCACTGTCCTTTCACAACAAATATCAAACGCTTAAACAAGTTTCACTGCGTTTCAGCCCCATGTGAACAACGATGCCGTATATGCCCCTATAGCATTTGCAAACCCAGATGTTATACTGAATACTACAAAAGGAGAAGCTTTGAATGTAACGAGAAAAGGATTTAATTGTAATCTACAGCTCACGTAAAAATTAATAGTCAAGAACTGCAGCAGAAATAGAGTTGGGAAAATAACCATTAGCAGGGACACCAACAGGGCCCTCAACCTTGACCCGGGCCGTACACAGCCTCGCCTTCTATACTTTTCAAAACTTGTACAGTCTTTTGCTGATGGCCCCATGCCTGGGTTTGAAACTTTTATTTTAAATGTATTTTTATGCCGGAACTTGCAATTCAGTTTTCTGTGTTTGCATAACATGGAACTCATTTCTCAGTGATTTAAATTTCAGTGAATTACAGTAAAGAACAGCGTGCGTTTCGTGGCTACAATCATATATATACAAACATCTAATTCAGCCCATAGATCAATAGTCAAAGGCTATTATACATTGAATGAAGAAATACTTAATACTGAGACTCCATGTTGTTTGTGGCGTTGGTTCACATTTTACTTGCATCTTAACATCAGATTTTGAGATAATTATAAAACAAAACATAACATGCACTTATAATACATAGAAAAAAATCAGCACTATATGAGAAAATAATAATTCAGACGCCTCAGACATGCCCTGAGCTCCCGTTCCTGTAGTTTTCTGAGGCACAAACTAAAGATGGGAGTTGTTAACGCGCCTCTCCACTTGTTCTAAACTCTAAAACGAACTCCTCCACTTGAACAAAGCGATCCACCTCCAACATAAACTCTACTAATTCACCCGCTGCTTCAAAATCATCGCTTAACCCAAATTCTCTCCCTCTTTTCTTTTACGCATTGGCGTCCGTGCCCACGCTGTGTTTACAGTCGTTAAATGTGCATGAGTGTCTGACTGTCTGCATCCAGCCGCCTGTAACCTATATATGTATGAATGATGAAATGTTTTGGATTTAAATGATGATATAGTATTCAATGTCCATCGCTCTCCCCGGGACACAACTCCACGCAATCCCCCGCGTCTTAAGTGCAACTGTCACGCCATCATCACGCTGGTTCACCCCAATTTACCCCCGCGTTTCTCAACCCCGGGACCGCGCGCTTTCTATATATCTGCTTCCTTTGTCTATTTGAAGTTTCCATAAAACAACCTCCAATATGAGTCCTAAAATGTCACCTTCACGCTCAATACGTCTGCGCTACTGGTTCTACTCACATATGGGACAGTCAGTCAGTCAGTCAGTCAGTCTGGCATGGCAGGGTATAGTCCCCCCCCCCCACCCCAAACACACGCAAAATTCATCAGACGTTCATAGACGCGCGTAAAAACAACAAGAGTTCTTACCTTCATTGGGGGGGTACGTGATGGAGAGCGAGAGGGGAAAGTGCAATAAAAGAGTCAAAATGGGGAAAAGAAGTGATCGCGCAGTGCAATCCATGGCGGCGGATCAGTGGTACATAACTCCATGAAGCCACTGGCGGATCTGAGCGTGCTGCGGCTGCTCTCTGCCCGAGCCGCTCTCTCCGACTGCGCGCTCCGGAGGATGTGCGCAGATTTCCGCAGGGTCCTAAAGAGTCGTGGTGGGTTTTTTTTTTTTTTTTTTAGGGGAGAAGGGAGGTGGAGGGGAAGCGGGTGGGGGATAACGCAAAAAAAAAGAAAGAAAAGAAGGCATTGCGAGTGAGTGAGACGGTTCAGAGCAGAGGCGGGTTCAGCACAGGTCAATGCGTGGGGCCAACGAGAAGTGCGCGGAGCAGGGAGTTAATGGGAATTTCCTTCAGAAGTATAAACGTGACGTGACGTGACGTTATCGATGTGCAGATTGGAATGTCTCAGTATCTTGTTTTATTTTGTTTATGTAATTATTTTGAATCATTATAAGAATATGCAACATAACGAACTTGTCATTCTGTCTAAATAAGAAGTCGTCTGATTTTATGATTGTGTGTATGTACATTTAGATACAACAATTAAATGTTATTAATGAGCAAGTATATTCAATTAAATCAATATTCTTGTATAACCCTAAATCACAACCACATACACAGACAGACCCTCCTGTATCAAGAAGGAGGGGGAAAAAATTCTTGCATAATTTAAGTGATAATTACAAATGTGATGATTAGTGATAAGTGTTATTGACGTTTAACTAATTGACATGCACATAACTTAAAAATGTAATTAGGTTATAGTTAAACTGAAATTAAGCAATGGGCCTATATGTGTAGACTTTTTTTTATTTTTTATGGAGCTACAAAAAAGCCTGGAGTTTCAAGTGTTCACAAAGCTTTACCAAAAGTTGTGGACAAAACTCTGTTGTATTCTGTGTCTTTAGCATACTGTTTTATGCTGAACTACTTTGTCAAGGTCAGCTTTACATGTAGAGCACATTTATAACGACAACAGCTCCAAAGTTCTTCACGAGCACGAAAGATAAAAATGTAAAGCTAACAGCATAAAATACAGACACATAAATACAAAAGACATGTAAAAAAGTGAAAGTCAGGTGGTGTTAAAGCCATGGTCTTAACTATACAACCATGTCCAATTAATATGCTTCATTAATATGTTAATTCGTGACCATATGGCTCTATATGTTCATAACCATAAAGTAAACAGAGTGGAGAAATATCAGTGTCACAGCAGAAATACAAACTAAACCATTTATGACGCACTAGAAACCAGATAAGATAAAAACCAAAATAATAATAATCTTTAACAACATTTTTAACTCTAATTGGCATTTTAAGTATCAGTCCTGCCCCATTATACACATGTCAAAGATTACAGAACAGGTATTGTGAATTGGTTTTGAAAAGAAACAGAGCAAACATCTTTTTATGACAGCAATCATGGCACTTGGCAAACACAAGGACGGCACTTTGGAAGAGACAGCACTTATTGAAGCCCTTTTTATCCCGGTGTGGATGGACGTATGGTGTTATTGCACTGAGCTCCACTGTGAGGACGGTGAGGGGCCTCCCACAACAAAGTGGTTGATCCGCAGTGAAAGGACCGGACTGCGCCGGAGCCCGCTGCACGCTGAGACGCCAGCTGTTCTCATGGCGGAGCGCGGGGGCAGCAGGGATGGGAGGGGGGCGGGAGGGGGTAGTTTAAATTCAACAACATGAACAAGATTGAGGCAATATATATCGAGCCAGAAAATACACACACACATACCGATTTATTCAATTTTATTTTACAGAGATGGCTTTAAACCTGAATCTGTGAGCAGCAGTGTTGGACAGGGCTGGGTATCGGTGTTTGCTGATGTAAGGCAGGCAAGTTTATTTGTATGGCACAATTCATACACAAGGAAACTCAATGTACCGCGATACAGAGATTTACAAGACACCATTTAATGCAACATATTTATAATTTAGAAAAACACAGACGTTGGCTTTGTGCTTCTTCTTCAAAGTTCCTATGTTCTTTTAACAAAAAAGACTAAATTGGTAGTAATTGTTGTATTTATTTTTCATTGGTTGAAGCCCAACTGTTCAGAAGTACTTTTTTTGTATTTATTTATACTTTCTGAATGCATTTATTTCAAACTTGTTAAATTTTCCACAACAAAAATAGGATACAAAATGAACCCAGTGTGTGGCTGTGACTAGAACTATCAGTACATGAAAAACAATGAATGAAATCTAAATATATATGAAAAACATTTATAATACAAAATAAAATAAAGATAAAATAATATTTTCAATTCACCCCTAATTTTGAGAGTGATAAATGTGACCTGTGACCTGATCTAAAATATGTATATCGTTCTCTCACATAGAACATTGGCTATATCCTGATCTTTTATTTAACCCATTCATTTAAGTTTAATTCATTTAAGTTTAATCCATTTAAGTTCATCCAATTAAGTTCATTAAAAAGTTAGCAACATAGAAACATTCCCAAGTCACAATGTGCAGGATTCCCTATGATTAACATTTAGCAGAAATTTGTGAATGTGCAACGGCCTGGTACAATGTGCAATACAAAGTTACAGTATAACATTTAGCAACGATATAAAGTGCCACGCAATTGGTTCGAAAATACCCTGTACTGTATGTGTAATTTACAACGCAGCCGTATGCTTTCCTCATTGGGTATACAGCTGAGAACTTCTAAATGGCTTGGATAGATTTATCTCGAACATAATGAAGCTGGTTGTGATTGATCGACTTGTGGGTGCAGCGGTCCGGCTCAGGTTTCTGCTCTTGTCAGTGGAGACGGAGAGGGGCCATGCCAGGAGGTCTCGTGGTGCATTAAGTGGCCGTGGCGTGTGGATTTACTGTGGGCTTTGGAGGTGCCAGCTCCACTTATACATCATGCCGGACGGAGAGCACCAATTCACTTATTACACCTCAGGAAAGATTGATACAAGGGGCTTTGCGGGCCGCAGTCAATCTGAAAACGGCCGAGGTTGGACTTTCACAGACTTCTATATTGTCTGAAGCCGTCAGTCTGTAATAGGTCATTAAAAGGTACATACCTACGGAATGGGGAGACTGAGCAGGAGAGATTAAGCCTAAATGAATTGGGCAAGCAAGACACCTTTTGGCACCATCGGACAAAATTTCCGGAACTGTCGCAATTAATTCTATTCTGTTCATATACTCCACACTTTTAGCTCTAAATCAAATGTGACAAAACTGACAACTTCTCAGCTCCTTGCAGACCCTTCCAATGTTTAAATTCAGGTTTTTTTGATTGATTGAATTTATTCTTTTGAGCAGAATCCATTGATTACAATATTTACATGACCTTCTGAACGTGTTGCCTACTGTGCGTACATTATATACTTACACATGCAAATAAACATACATTTACAATCAAGCAACATTGCCCTAGTTTCACCATGTGTTGAATATTTACAACCTCATTGTGTATTTACAGATGAATTTCTATTTGTGAAAAGGTTGAAAACAGTATTTTGCTTCTGTTCTGCGACAGATTAATTTGATCTGCAATTAATGAGTGGACGGATTTGGACTAGTGTATTGAAATGCCTTTATTATTCTGAGAAACCAAGACGTTTCAGCCAAACTGTGGTTTTCGTCAGGTCACAGGTTTGTGCTGTGATTTAAAAGTTTCTCTAATTTTGTTTTGGTAAAATACTTTCCGTGAATTGAATTCCCTTGTGTACGAATAACTTAACTTTAGCCTGGGATATGTCATTCTTCCTGTCAGTGAGTATTTGTCCTAAATGTTTAAAGAGAAGGAGTTCATGACCATGTTCTATCTGCCTTCCCAACTCTTCAGGCACCAGCATTTTTAGAGAAATGTATTATGAAACAGCCAAATGGTGACCCCTGTAACTTGATAAAAGATAGTGGACTACTCATCTCAATACCACAACACATAGAATAACTCTATATACAAAAAATAGGTAGAGGATTGTGGGAAGCCAAGTCACTGTATATAAAGTCCCCTGGATTTAGGATGTATGCTACTTTGGAGCTTTGGAGCAAAATGCCGTATTCATAACTAAAATTATATATTCAAAATCATACAATAGAGTCAAAACTGTGAACCTTTTGTTCTTGTGTAATAGTTTGATCACCAAAAATAACATACAGATGAAGTCAAAATGTGCTTTTGATTGTTGTAAATTAGATAAAAGTATGTGTCCCTCCTAGCCATGGTGCTCCTTCCAAACTTCCTTCTTCTCAATGACTGTACTTGTCCATTGTTGAAGCTCGGCCAGTGGAACAATCTGATGTGAGACGGAGGGTAATATTGATTCAAAGCCACAATTGTAAGTCATTGCGCGGTCCTGACTGGACAGTACAGATGTCATTGGAGGGAGCCAAGGTTAAAGGCGATTCTCTCCACTGCACAGTAACACTCAAACAAACAAACAGATAAATAAAGAGCGACATGAGTGGCTGCGCTGTCTTCCTGTGGTTCATGAAGCACATTCCTCCACACACTCACACAGAACAGGGACCATGGCTGGAGCTACACACTCACACAGAGCGGGGACCATGGCTGAAGCTTCACACTCACACAGAGCGGGGACCATGGCTGAAGCTTCACACTCACACAGAACCGGGACCATGGCTGAAGCTTCACACTCACACAGAGCGGGGACCATGGCTGAAGCTTCACACTCACACAGAACCGGGACCATGGCTGAAGCTTCACACTCACACAGAGCGGGGACCATGGCTGAAACTTCACACTCACACAGAACCGGGACCATGGCTGGAGCTTCACACTCACACAGAGCGGGAACCATGGCTGATGCTTCAAACTCACACAGAGCGGGCACCATGGCTGGGGCTTGAAGCGTCTGCTGAGTAATTCTATCCCCCCCTGCAGAACGCTTCAGCTTGGGGTAGAAGCAGAGAGGCAGAGGTGGCAAGACTGGAGCTATACAAGCAACACCATCAAATGCACTGTTGGGGTGAATGAGTGAATGAATGAGTGAATGAGTCTTTATTCGGACAATACAAAAATATATAAATAATTACAAACAAAAAACAAAAACTTATACGTGTACAATGTACTTACAACTTGTTCCCTCAAGGATTAAATAAGTTAAACAATAATGTCCGAAAGGGAGCAGGAAGAAGTACAAATACTTATGTAACTCCGCCCCCTTTTCTACTTTAATCAATTTAACAAAGATCAAAGGTAGAAATCTTTAATTCAATTTTACTGTATATACCAAATATATATATATATATTTATATATATATATATATATAGTATATATATATATATACCTACCTGTTATATACCTATTTTTTTCCAACATTTCAAAATGGAATAGCATTTGTTGATCCCAAAATGTTTACTCCTTGAACGACCCCTTTGCTTCTTATTTCTCAACAAACCTGTTTCCAATGGAACCTAATATATTATGTTATGATATTAAAATGAAAACGATAAAGGAAAAGGAGAGAGAAACACAAAAGGCACAGCCACCACTTCTGTTGCCCATTACCTTCTGCTATGCTGAACTGGCACCATTATTATTTTTCATATAAACCACAAGCTTCTTTTACAGCATTGAACTCATTAGGCCCAAAGAGGAAGTCTGTTTGCCTTTATCTCCTCTTAAAACAACTGTAATAATGTTTGTTTATGATTGCCAAAAAACCTGGATTACATTAAGACAGGCCTGTGGTTTTTTTTGTTAATTCTGCATGGATATCAAAATAAGTCGTTGTTTTGTATAGGTACATGCAGCCAACATGACAAAACTTTACTAAAATGTGTGCGCATGTATCAAAAATAAGATATTCGAGTCACAAAATCATTTATATATAGATATAATATATTTATAACCCCCGTAGGTTTCCTCTGGGTGCTCCGGTGTCCCCTACCATTAAAAACTTGCACAATAGGTGTTGGTTGGCGGCTTTGATGCATCAGTGTGTCCGGTGTCTCGCTTCTGTCATCACCGTGTGTGGAATGATTGTAACAATATCTGAACTCTGAACATTGTAAAGCAATTTGGGTGACCTTGGTCTGTGAAATGTGCTTTATAAATAAACAATAATTACTTCTGGAATGGAGTCCAGAATATCCATTGCATCTCAAGTGTCTCGTCCCACGTTCCCGTCTTTGACAAACTTCACAGAAAGCCTGATTTTTTGCGTCACATTTTCGGTCACACCGTCCTTGCCCTTATCCGATTCGAGCCACATTTTCTCCCCCCTCTGTGACCGAAGCGCTGAATTTGCCATACAAATCCATAACCCAATTATTCAGTGGGGCATGGGCAGGAAATGGAGAGGCACTTCATCTGCGTGTGAGACTGAGACACCCACAAGCAGAGCATTACACGGAGACGGCCAGGGCTGCACAAACACGGCTGCTGCAATTAACTCTGCCGACAAAAAATGTGGAAAATACAGTCTTTGAAACTGGAGCTGTAAAAATGAAACACGTCGGGAAGAGTGCCTCAGCAATGTGGATTTTTTTTGGAGAGTGTTTTGGAGTCTTTTACTGTTAGTTTACGTGCACGCCAGCCAAGTCTAATTCACTTTAAACTACGGGAGTGTTTTTAAAGTCCATAAACACACTATTGTGTATCTGGATCCTAATTATAGACGATGAATTATCAATGGACTTAGAATTAAATGTATTCTTGGGCATTCACAAGTAGAACAATGTATAATACCAAATGTCCATATTGTTTTATTTAATTTTAGCCGTGCCGACAGCCGATTCAATCTTATTTTCCAGCAACCCCACCAAAAAAATAACAATACGTAGTTCACCAGACCAGATTTGCAATTTCAATTTTTGGGAATGACTTTGCACACCTGTCTAAAGCCTGGTTCACACGGCAGGATATTTAGGCCGATTTAGACCCGATTTACCCCTTACGACAATCTTAAGAAACGCTCCGATTTCCGTAACAAAATCTTACAGATTATCCTGCCGTGTGTGGTGTGTTAAGACTGCACTCGTCGCTCGGAAGGACATCGGGACTGCTCCCGATCTCAAATCGGGGATTTCTCGTCGTGTGTGGTGTCCTCCGAGGACAAGCGAGCGCGTTGCCATGACTACGGCGTGTAGCCAATAAGAAGACGAGGTGACAAGCCGGTGAGGAAACACCGGAAAAAAAACCAAAACACAGCAGCATGGCTTTGACCATTGCCTTTTCTTTGGATTACGTGTCTTCTCTGTTAACAACAAACTGCACACTATCGCCACTGCATCCTCTTCGTCCGCCATGACTGTTTACTCTGAAGTCACGCTTGATCTCGAGAGATTTTGTGAGATTTCCGTCTGACCTGGGAATGCTCGGGGGGGGGTGTCGGTTCGTGTGTGATGTTTGTGGCTTGCGTGATCTTGCCGTGTGGCTACGCACCACACACTGCACGACCAAAGTGGTTAGACGCAGGATTTTTAATCTCCCCGTGTGGGGTCTAACACGGAGAAAAATCGGCCGACAATTTTAAAATCGTCTCGTGTGAACCAGGCTTTAGATACAGGTGCAGAGTAATGTACAGGATGAACTAGCAATAGAAGCGACAGTGGCTCAGGTCACGTCTCCCACTGATGTCTGCTGTTGTTGTGTCTTTGGGCAAGACACTTAACCCCTCTTTGCCTGAAGCCCCCGCTGAAAGATCTCAGCTCCTGTGGACTCACCACCTGCAGGAGGATCAGTGAGGGGCTGGTGCTTTGTGAATTGGCCCAGAAATAGATTAAAGGGTAGAAGATGGATGGATGGACTTACTGGTTAGATGCTAAACTGCACTTTGTTGCATTTTTCTGAAATTGTAATAAAAATAAAGTTGAATCCAATCAAATCTAAAACAGGAGAGATTTGACTTTGCAAGTGTATGTTTCAGTCACTCTTACCTTGTTCGGGTAAATGTCTCTCTTTCTGGTGATTTTGTTGCCAAATAAATTCCAACTGCCAAATAAAAATACAACTTGCTGTAAGGAGTAGAATTGTGTGAACTTTTTTTTACTCAAATACTGTACTGTGAAGTAGCATGTTTGGAGTTTGGTGCAGCTGTTTGTGCTTAGATCTCTCTCCCACTGGGCCCTGATATGTACCTGGGAACATGTAGCCACAGACAGAGGCCTTGTCCTATAACATCATGAGTTTATTTACTGCAGCAGCACTGAACAAGGCCAAACCATGAGCGCTGGTAATTAGAGAGGCAGGGAACAACACTGGGGCTCCATGATGGCACTGTGGTCTAGTCACAAGATTGAAACGTGCAGACAGAAGCGTGCTTTTTCCATTTGGGTTCAGATCATAGCCCACCTAATGACCCTGCTGCTTCAACTATAAATCCAGGAGCATTTGCTTTGTGGCTATTAAACGTTTTGGGTTGGGCATAAATCCGTCCTGTCACTTCATGAAATGCTGTGTTTTTTCTTCTTCCCTCTATTGTGTAGATGGTTGTGTAGCATAAAAGATATTCTTGCGTCTACATGTGTAAATACCTTGCTTAAATGGCCTTGTCCTGCTGGATACAATTAAATCTAGAATTTGCAGAACACATAATAAAACCAGATTATCTAGAATGATAATCCAATATTGTTTTGGATAGTAATTTTCCCACGTCAAAAGAGATGAAATGTTTTTGTTATTTCTGTTTCAACCAGTATGACGAACATATATGTCCATAAAAATCTTGGACTTCAAGATTAAGATTTGGAAATTTGGAGATTTCAGTGTTTCATCACAAGTTACAGAACAGTAGGAATGAGGAGCACACAGCGCAAGATAAATGAATAATGACTCTATACTAAAATAAAATAAAATCTTTAACTCTTGCATAAAAAGTAGGAAGTCTAAACATTACCATGAAGTAGAAGCAAGACTTAAGTATACAAACCCCTGCGGCTTTAACATAAGGAGCAAGTATAATACGCAATTCCAAATCAAAGTCTGAGTGGAGTTTGTATGTTCTCCCCGTGTTTGCATAGGTTTCTTCCGTGTGCTCTGGTTTCTCCTCACACTAAAAACAATAGGCCTGGCATGCACCTTCTGTACGGCGCCTCACTCCCATCTCTGTGTAGATTGAGTGAAAAATTCCCACAATTATAAAGCGCGTTGTGATTGTGGTCTGTGAAATGCACTGTATGAATAATTTAAGTAGAAAAAGAAGAAAGTGACTCGGTAAAAAGACATTGGACACATGTGGTTCTATAATGAAATTGTAACAACTCTCAACTATAACTGCCAACGCCTGGATTCTCGTGTTGTTCACCTGTTCTTGTGCCTTGGATCCAGTTCCAGCTGCAGCAGTATATTCTTGACCACATTTTTTTTTTTTTTTTTTTTTTTTTAGTTTATTTATTTAAAAGGGACCATGTACAATTATAACATAAATGTTGCCATTTGATGCATTGCACCAGAGTTCGCCTGAGGCTAATTTACATCTGCAGTCCCTGGCAGGGAACGGACGACCCATAACAGAAAAAAGACAAGATTCACAAGACAAGGGGTCGACCAGGAAAGACAAACCACATACAACATTACAGATTCATAAAACCCAGACAAGACACATCAACAACACAAATACAAATACAAATACAGACAAATAAGTCAGTACCAGAGGGAGTGTAAAAACCAAAGAGGGCTGGCATGGCTAGTGTGTACAATGCTGGCTACTTTTTAGATGCTTTTTGAGTTCAGTTTTAAAGCCCTTGATGGTCGTGCATGTCTTTATATTGTCAGGTAGTTGGTTCCACAGTTTAGCAGCCTTCACTGCAAACGCTGATTGACCAAAGGTGGAATGACGGAAAGGTACAATGCAATCATGTAGAGAAGCTGCTCGAGTAGATCTTAAAGAA